CTTCACTGCGCATGCAGCGAGTTTCGTACTCCAGATAAAACACTAGCATTTCTCAATCATATCACACGGCTCTACAGTTTTTTAATACTTCAGTAATTTATTTGCCAGAATATGCGCACGCTACGAAGTAATTTTTATTTACACTCAGTAATGAGACTGTTCACATTCAGAATGACAAAGTGAGACATATCGGCCATCCAGATGAATGGAAGTTCGACTGGTTCGATCTCAAATGGGAAACCGACATCAAAGCCTGAATGGAATTCCTGACTATTACATTCCAGTTGTTTTCTGATATTTCAATTCTGTTGTTGTATTTTTAGGAGAATAAGATTATTTGTTGGTGCTAAAAAGGCTCTTTACAAACTTCAGTTACCTCAACGTTCATGCGCACCTCGCAAAGTGATTTGTACGATTTTATTCTTTGAGAACGTTCAGGATGGGTTTGACCTAGCTACAGCCTAATCTCCACCAGTTGTCTACCAGATCCCACAATTGCTGGGGAACATGCCGGTACTGCGCAAAACCCAGCCCCACGAACGCCTCAACGTCCGCAGTGAACGAGGCTGTGTATTCCCCGGAATTTGTAATGGTTAGCACACTAAGCACAAGGCAGGAGATTCAGGTTGAAGTCTTGGCTAAGGCCGAGCATATTATTGAATTGATACATTAAGTTAGCAATCTTGTAACAACCTTCGGAACGCTACGGCAAAAAGTACCAGCTAGTAGTGGGAGTGGTTTTCCAGAGGAGCTAAAAGCCCTTCCAGGCATTTATAGAAACTATTTTCATGGTGTAGTAGTGCTCTGCACTCCACGCCATGAAAATAGTTCCTATAAAAGCCTGGAAGGACGTTTGGCTCCTTCGGAAAACCACGCCCACTACTTGCGAAGGACGTCTTTCTGGATCTCTTTATATGATGAACGTTTCCACTTGAGTAACAAGATCGTTGAGATTTACTCACCCCCACTTGTGCTAAGATGGTAGACCTTTCACATGCGAGCGAATCAATCGCAATAATAGGCGGAGTCAGACCTACTATTCTCCACCCTGGCCCTCTTTTTCATTGTCTCAGAAAACATGTGGTGCACCAAAGGAGTATGTCTGCAGGGTATAGCATCGTTGTGTGAAACACATAAGCGGGTGGTACTTTTTCGGTGGGGGGGGGTCATATTTGGTCGCTGGGAGAGGAGGGTCGTGTACGCCCTCAGAAATTTGCAGCACTGGGGAAGAAATTTTCTGATTGTTGACTTTTCGCGCAATTTCTCCTGTTTCACGTGTACTATATACTCTTTCCCCCTCGAAGCAAAATTTTTGGGAAAAAGTAGGAAAATTTTCCTACTTTATGTTGTTGGGAATAA